GATACTGTCTGGCCCTAGTAAATAGTAATTAATGACATTGTTTGTACTAACTACTGTATTAACATTAACTTACCCATCACTATTCCACATGACAGGTGACCCTGGAGGAGTTTGTGAATTACTACAGCGGCGTCAGCGCTTCTGTCGACAGTGACGAGTACTTCATCTCCATGATGAAGAGCGCATGGAAGCTGTAGGCTTTTCATTTGTCATTAGAAATCAGATTGGAACCTGCAATATTTACATGTAGAAATCATGTCTCATTAAAGGGCTTTGATTTAGGCCTCTTGGTTTAATGTTTCACACATTGCTGCTTCTCAGAAGATGGAGTTGAATCTGATCGAAGTTTTTATCAGGTCAAAATCTGGCGTTGTGAAAGACGAGAGCTTCAAAAAGGTCTTTATTGATTTCTCTGACAAACACTGTTCAATCAGCTGATAAACGCCAGCAGCTGCTCGTGTTAAACTCCGCTCATTCATTAGGGGTGTGTTTGTGGCGCCACCTGCTGAACACTCACGACATGACACCATCAATGAATAAATATCGTAAAACCATCGAGGGCGTAATCTCATTTTACTCAACAACAGGTGTTTTTGATTATTGATGAAGCGAAAGGCCATCAAGGCTCTATTTTGAGTAAAATTTGATTTGGAAATGTGAATATTTGATGATATATTTGATAACTAGTGACAACTTAAAATGTAATAGTAGGTAACACTAATGTTCAGATGTTTGGGGTCAGTTTAAAAAAATAGAAATTAATTCTTTTATTCTGCAAAAGCACATTAAATTGATCAAAATTGGCTATATGCACACAGACTTTTAGTTTTCAGCTAGCCAGCCCCAGTGCTTCCTGTGAACTGTCTGTGCATTTTTAAACTGCCTCGTTTCTTTACAAATCACTTATCTTCACTGCCTGATAAATATACTATATGAAATAGGGTCTCAGACCAGACAAGAAGTTCTGCGTTAAATTCACTGAAATATTGTCTTGTAGGTCTTAAATCATTTACAACAGGTCTTAATTTTCCTTCGTTTCTGTGAAGCTACCCAATCGTTCCAACGCATCCATTTACCAACACATCTCAATAAAACTTTATAAATATATATATATATATATATATATATATATATAT